ATCTGTTCTCATCAGCTGTGTCATCGAATAACAAAGTACTGGGAATTTAGGCAGTCAGCCAGTTAATTATTGACTTTGTCCAATTATTTGAGCCAAGAAATCACTCTGTAATCTGAATATTATGGTTTGAATTTTTTTATGATTCAACTAAGAGGAATTATTACCACATTTTCACTTTACTATATGTTTTATGAACCAAACAGCATTGTCTGAGGATGGCAAATGTCTGAACTAAAAGTTATTGTTTAAGGAAATCCATATGATAGGTTTTTTTACACATTTGGATATGAAAATCAGTTAATTGTGTATTGAAGTGGGAGGTCTATTCTTTCCTGAGATTTTTCTTAAATTGATCTTCTCTAAGAACATTTTGTCTTAGACCTTTTGTCCCCCAAGCCAAACCACATTACTACATAATAAGGAAGAGAAAACTGTGAACTGTATGATATTTATTAAAATGCACATATTTTATCCATAAAAAAGCAACAGCGGCATTTATAATTCCCCCTATTTCTTCGTGTGGTTATTTAGAAACTATATACTTCTTTTAGTCTCCAGAAGTAAAAATAGCAGCCTATCAAGAACTTCACCTTCACTGGTTAGCTCCAGTTGGGAGGACTTGTGCTAATGAGGTCCAGGTCAGGGATTGAATGCCCAGGGGATCCAATTAGCTTTCACACATAAAGAGGTTTTGTGTTGCTTCAGAGAAGCATGTTCATCCCAACTGGTTGCATTAATGCTCTATCCCACTTCGACCAAAACTGCCCTTTCCCAGAACTTTTCAGCTAACATGGTAGCAGCTTCCTGCTTTTGAGCCTGGCCTAGAAACCCATGTTCTGTGTCAGTCCTTAGTGGCCGTTGTGGTTTGGATGACCTACTCTCCCAAAACTTCCTACAGATCTGGTAACCCATCAGGGATGTATTTTGTCTTCATCAGTCAGCTCTAGGCAGGCCATAGCCGCTGTGTCTTTGCAAGGCTTTTCCCTCAGCCATTCCTCCAAGGCCCAAGGAAGGCTCTTCTCTCTCTTCTGACCTCTTTGGTTTCCATTCCTCAAGCTACAGAAATATTTGCAAACTTTTTCATACACAGTGTACAGACTTCTGTTTTGTCATCTATTGCCTTCATTGCATGATCTTATTTCTAGGATTTTTGGTAACTTAACTATCTACTCTGGGTGCTGGTCCTTTCTCCATCCCTAGTACTGCTCCAGTGAGACTCACAAAGTAGGTACTTATTAGAAAGAGTTTGTTTCAATGACCAAAAAAGTGCTGCATTCACATAATTAGCCAGATCCAGTGACCATACCACACCCATCAGAGGAAAAGGTCAGGGCTCACAACCACCCTTTTCTTTACAGAAATTTTTATATTATAATGAATGCAATATTAATGTTCTACAAAATGAGAGTACTATTCTAAATTCTGTTTGTCATCACTATTAATCTGCAATACAGTTGCTTAGCAATTCAATTTTCAGAAATTGATTTCTAAATTTTTGAAATCTGTTAATCACACACAAATTATTCCTACCATTGTTTAACTAAAGAAGACAATGGGTAAAAAGATCACCATTTGGAAATTAAAGGAATTCAAATTGTTTATTTATGAAATATTCAAAATTTAGAATATTTCAAAAGTATATACATTTATATTATCTTAGTTGTTCTCTAAATCAAAAATTGTTCTGTTGTGGCTCTAAACACATCTTAATAAAATAACATTTGCTAACATTTTTGCAAAATGCTACATAAATAACTGCTACAAAATGTCAAGAATTTTTTAAGGTTTCTTTAATTATTAGTCCTGTAGCTGCTTTTACTGTTAGGCTGACTTAGCAACCCCTTTGCCATGGAAACAGAAATGATACAAATACATATGATAAAATTACTAAATTATTGTGGCATATTTACTTTTTTACATATACTGTTTCCCAGAGCAACCAGACATGCTTTCCAAACCATGGTATTTGGGAATTTTTGTAAATCAGTCAAATGTGTTAACGTCACAAAGCAGGTTCTTTTGTTTTTAAAGTGAAATTATTTGGTTTAGTTGCTGCTATAATGGTGCTAATTTTCAGCCTGCCTGGTAGACTAAGTCAGAAATGTTTCAAGGAAAAGGGCCCTATTATTTCCTATTCATACATGAAATTCCTATTCACAGTGCAGAGTGCTAGCTAGGTACACACTCGGTACTCTTCCAAGGGGTTGAGAAAAATGAAAGCATTAAAGGACATTTTAATATGATGTCTCACGGTTGTGTCATAACACCCAGTGACACAGAGATGTGGAATTTGGCAGCGGTGGAAGAGATTGGACATCATGGAGCTGAGCATCAACCTTAGAGGAAGCTGGTGTGGCTTCCCACAGTTGTTGGAAGGCAGAAAATCTGAGCCATGATTTCAGAGGAAGAAACATGTAAAAAAATATTGAGAATGTGCTCATTTTTATTTTTTAAAAATGACTCAGAAAGAAAGGGATAGACATAGAAAGATTGCATTCATCTGGGGAACATAAAGTAACAAAATAGGAGACTAACACCCAAGAATAGCCGAGATAAGTACCAGGAGGTTCACTCCATGGCTTGGAGGCCAACCACACATGCTAGGGAAAAGGGAGCTCAGATAGAGAAGGGAGCACCAAATCAAGGATGTTGGGAGGATCCTCCCAGGATGGGAGAAGCATACTGAAAGTGGACTATAGACCAAACATGATTGCCACTCAATGCCTCTCTTGCAAACCACAGGACCCAAAAGGAGAGAGAGAGAACAAAAGGGAATGCCCTGGCACAGAGGCAGGGTTGGATGGGGGGGATGGGGGATGGGAGGGATACTGGGATCAGTGGTGGTGGGAAATGGGCACTGGTGGAGGGATGGGTATTTGATCATTGTATAATTGAAACCCAAGCACAAAAATGTGTAAGTCTACAACTGTACCTCATGATGTCTCTCTAATAAAAATTTTAAAAAATTATAAAAATATCTCTGAATTTCTGCTTAGATATTTCATTTTTCTGGTCCAGCTTCAGTGGTCACTAAAAGTAGCTGTGGCAGCCCTTCTCCCTGCTCTCCTATACTTCTGTGCTGTACAGACCAAGCGCTGTGCAATCTGTTGTTTTTTCTGGCTAAACTGGTAGAGGGAACAAGCTGTGTCTTATTTACCGCCATATCACAAATGCATTTGCGATAGACTAACTGGCATAGTGCTGGCATAGACTAACTGGATAAATGAATAAAGGCCACCATAGCACAAAAGTAATAATATGAGGCAAAATAATAAATTTTATAAATGTGGGTGTGGCTAGTAGATGGCCAACAATCTAGTTTGTTCTTGAATTAGCACTTGATAATAATTTTCAAATACGTCATCCCATTCATAGCAGCCAAAGTATATAAAGACTTCTAGCTGGAAGTTTTAAAATTGCAGATACAACTAGCTGTATTGGTAAATAATTTAAGTAATTCACAGAAAATGAGTTAAAATGCAAATAAACATGAATAAATATTATTCTGCTTCCTTGGTAATGGTTTAAACTATATGAAAACAAGAACATAATCTTTCAAAGTTCATGCCCTTCACATAAGGACTCCATTTCCAGTGCAGAGTAGGTGGCTGGGTATTTGTAGATGGGAATTCTAGTGACATTTGTCACTGGTATTGCAAGCATCTTATTGTTGAATAATCAAGAAGTGGGTAAACTGAATAGTCAGTTTAATAGATTCTGACACAGCCATTTTCTTAAAGGCAAAAGAAGCTCTCACAATGTGATATAAAGTATATTTTATACTTCTAGATATATGAAAGAAAAAAGTAAGACATATTTGAACATTTCTAGGTTCAAAGACTGCATGCTTTGCTTACTTAAGTCCTTTGCAATGTGCACCAGAAGAAGAGCTCTCCTTTGAAGAGTTACCATCTCAGATCTCATCCTTTCAGGGTGAATGACGTTGATAACCCAAACTTTATTCTGTCAAGATCCAGTTTCTGGCCTAGAGAATGGCAGGACTCTCACTTCTGCTCAGCCCCTTAGTGAAAGGTCGCTTCTCATTTTCCTTGCTCCTTTTTAAATTTTTTTAAAAATTTTTATTAGTGAGACATCATGAGGTACAGTAGTAGACTTACAAATTTTTGTGCTTGGGTTTCAATTATACAATGATCAGATACCCACCATGCCTCTACTAGTGCCCATTTCCCACCACCACAGATCCCAGTATCCCTCCCACCCCCCATGCCCCTCATCCCACCCTTCCTCTGTGGCAGGGCATTCCCTTTTGTTCTCTCTCTTATTGGGTGTTGTGGTTTGCAAAAGAGGCAATGGGTGACAACCATATTTGGTCTGTAGTCTACTTTCAACAGTCTTCTCCCATCCTGGGAGGATCCTCCCAACACCCTTTATTTGGTGCTCCCTTCTCTGTCTGAGCTCCCTTTTCCCCTAGCATGTGTGGTTGGCCTCCAAGCCATGGAGTAAAATTCCTGGTACTAATCTCGGCCATTGTTGGGTGTTAGTCTCCTATTTTGTTACTTTATGTTCCCCAGATGAATGCAATCTTTCTATATTAGGTTAAATATGCTCAGTTTTTTTCTGAAATAAGTTCTAGACCTCTTCTGTTCCATCTCTAGTCTTTAGCCTGTGATTAATTAATTATTTTGAAAATATTTAAAACTTTTTTCTTTCTTTTTATTTATTTATTTATTTTTCAAATACCCATGCCTCCACCAGTGCCCATTTCCCACTACCACGGATCCCAGTAGCCCTCTCACCTCCCATCCCCCCACCCCCCCATCCCACCCTGCCTCTGTGACTAGGCATTCCCTATTGTTCCCTCTGTCTTATTGGGCGTTGTGGTTTGCAAAAGAGGCATTGAGTGGCCATCACAGTTGGTTTGGAGTCTACTTTCAGCATGCTTCTCCCTTGCTCCTTTTACTCTGCGAGATGCTGGACTGTGCTTGCAGTCAATGACAGGGTCTTGAGAGAGTAACATCAAAGCCCTGCTATCTCTGCAGCAACCCTGACCTGAGGAGAACTGAGCCCATCTTAGAGAGCCCCCTGCAACGGACAAGCAGTGGCAGTTCCTCCAGCTCCAGCACTCCCAGCTCCCAGCCCAGCTCCCAAGGAGGCTCCCAGCCTGGATCACAAGCAGGCTCCAGTGAACGGACCAGAGTTCGAGGTAAAGCTCTCCCCTTCCTGGAGAGAGCGGCGTGAGGGAGGGCAGGTCAACGGGTTCTTTCCTCACCTCTGCGTTTTTTGCTTCTGCTATGCCCACCACTGTGTTAGTCTAAAGAGTTTCTTCGCCACCCTCAGCCTCCTTAGACTTAGAGGAATGGTACAGTTCCCCACGTACACGAGTAACATCAAAGCAAGGCTGCTCTCGTCAAAGATACCAGCACATTTCAGAGAGGTCATAGACTGGCCTTATTTGGGTTTTTTTGTTTGTTTATTTGGTTGTTTTGGTTTTTTTTTTTTTTTGCTTTTCGGGTCACACCCGGTGATGCACAGGAGTTACTCCTGGCTCTGCACTCAGAAATTACCCCTGGCAGTGCTCAGGGGCCATATGGGATGCTGGGAATTAAACCCAGGTTGGCCACGTGCAAGGCAAACGTCCTACCTGCTGTGCTATTGCTCCAGCCCCGAGACTGGCCTTATTTGGAAATATATTAGCTTCGTAGTCGTCTCCTGGATTTGCATTTACATATCATTACTTTTATGTACTTTTATGTACCCCTGAAGATCTTCTTCCTTCAGGGCCCATATTCCCCTTGAATATCATGAAGACAGTTCATAAACATTTGTAAAAGTTGAAATTCAGCAAGAGAAAAAAAATTCATCTCTTTGACTTAATCATCTTATGTAAAGTGTAATAAAATCAAAAACAAAATTTTTACCTAAAAATTTGACTCTTATGATTATTCCTAGTAAAGAGGTGAACATTAGTCTCTGATCATTTAATTCAAATCATTCATCATGATTTAATTTGGGAAGCATTTTATGTCTAGTAATTATACATGACAACACATTGTTTCTAGCTCATCAGAATCTTTATAACCTTTCTTAAAAGACAGTTTTTTTCTTTATTTTTTAAATTTTGTTTGGGTTTTTGGGCCACACCCACCATGCTCACAGTTGCTCAGTGTCCAACCCAAGTCGGCTGTGTACAAGGCTGTGTACCCTACCCGCTAAACTATTCCTCTGGCCCCTAAAAGACAGTTTTTCTTACAAGTAATGAAGTGCGGGATTTTTAACAGCAACTGGATAAATATTAACCAAAGAATTTTACCTAAAAATTGTATTTGACTCTTATGGTTATTCCTGTTATAGAGGTAAACATTAGTCTCTGATCATTTAGTTCAAATCATTCATCATTATTTAGTTTTCCTTAATGAGAAGACTTGTGGGAAGCATTTTATGTCCAGTTAATTATACATGACAACACATTGTTCTAGCTCATCAAAATCTTAATAACCTTTCTTAAAAGACAGTTTTTCTTTGAACAAGAGTACAATATTTTTGTTGTCTTTTCACTGTCATACCTAAGGACTAGCCTAAACTATCCTCTGAGTCATTCTGCAGGAAATGATTCACCAGAACTCCGTAATTTGAACCAGCACTTTTTGACAATCATTGTCTCTTTTGGCCTTCTGTTTTCTCTTCCAGCCAACAGTAAGTCAGAGGGCTCACCTGTGCTTCCACATGAGCCTTCTAAGGTGAAACCAGAAGAATCCAGGGACATAACCCGACCTAGTCGACCAGCTGTGAGTATTTTTCTTCCAAAGAGCTTTGAACTCTTAACTGAGCAGAGAACCTATAGGATAAAGTGGTTGAAATGTATGTATTATTATAAAACAAAGATGATTAGTGGGCTGGAGCGATAGCACAGCGGGTAGGGCGTTCGCCTTACAAGCGGCCAACATGGCGACCCGAGTTCGATTCCTCCGCCCCTCTCGGAGAGCCCGGCAAGCTACCGAGAGTATTGGATATGCCAGACACAGTAACAACAAAGTCTCCAATGGAGACGTTACTGGGCCCGCTCGAGCAAATCAACGATCAACGGGAGGGCCTTTACCTTTACCTTACTATGATTAGTAAAAACAGATGCTTTGAAACATCTGCAAGGAAAAACACTGAACAGATCTTGGGTTGCTCACCAATTTCCCTTTTAGATTTGGATAATCTTTAGCAACATTTTAGGTAATGAAACAGCAAGAGACATAACATACCTTTCCTTAATTTCTGTTCAGCAGCTTTGGCAAAAAGTTGTCGAAACTGACTCTTAAGGAAATTTGGGCAGTTTGTATGATTTTCTCTTGCATTCTGCACTTCCCCTCAGATTGTCCTTATATGAATTAACATCATTTTTTCTGCATTTAATATATCTGCAACTGTGTTTTCTGGAGTAGAACTTGATAAGACAGATATGAGAAGGAAAACTGGAAACTAAGACACAACATCAGTAAGACATATAGACCCCAAATAACAGAAAGAAATAAAAACTTAGAGACTAAACTTTGAAAGTTGAAAATTAATGTGGAATGAATTACTACTTGCTTATTTTATTGAAATTTTCAGAGATTCTCCTATGAAATGTGCGTGAAGTTTTTAAAGTAAGGAAATGCTAGCTGATGAGTAATGATGATTGGAATTTGCAACGCTCTGTGTTGAGGTTCTCTTTACCCTTTTGTGTTTATTAATTGTGTACTAATAATTCCTATTTTGTGTCTTGCCTGCTATCTCACCTCCTGCTTTCCCCTCCTTCTGTGGATTCTTCTGGATTGGGTTCCTCTAATCTCAGAGCTATAAAAAAGCTATAGATGAGGTTAGTATTACCTTTTTTGATCATGCTTTTACAATATGTAAATATAAAACTTATTTCCTATTGTTGACCTTTAGAAATGTGTCCAGTGATTTATGCTTTATTCACTTGCGTAATCTGGCAAGATAGCCCCTTGAACAATAGCCCATCTGAGCCCTTCAGATATGGTGTAAAGTTTCAGAGGCCTTCCTTTAAGTCAAAATACCACCATTCCAGTTTTCCTATCTAGATTAAAGAAACATAGTACGTGATTAACAGATCATAGAGAGAAATATATATATATATATATATATATATATATATATATATATATGTCTCTTGGAGAGTCCAGCAAGCTACCAAGAGTATCCCACCCACACGGGCAGAGCCTGGCAAGCTCCCCGTGGCACATTTGATATGCCAAAACCAGTAACTGTAACAGGCCTCATTCCCCTGACCCTGAGAGAGGCTCCAATCGTTGGGAAAGACGAGTAAGGAGAGGCTGCTAAAATCTCAGGGCTGGGATGAATGGAGACATTACTGTCGCCCACTTGAGTAAATCGACGAACAACGGGATGACAGTGATACAGTGATACAGTGCGTGATGATTGGCTTAGTTTCTCAGTTCAGTATCTTCCAATACTAGAACAAGAGCTTTTACCCTGTGCTTGCCAGCCTTGCTAGGGGAGGGATCTCAGTCGTTTTACTAACAAAGAAAAGAGACATCATTCTAAGACACTCCAAATTTATAGTGTGTGATTTGGGAGCGAAGAGTTACAGTGTATTGTTAGATTAATTTTGTGGGACATTAACTACAGCATCAGCACCAACATCAGCTGTAGTTAATGAATCCTAGTGAATTAAGTGACTTTATTTCCTTATCTATGGAGACATTTTTCCATTGGAAAAATATATGGCTTTGCCAATCTTAGGTACCTCGCTAAGAAGGATGACTGCCTTACTGCTGTTTGTCAGAACTGCATGAATACAGCCGAGTGAAGTTTTATTTTAAGAGCCAGTTCTTTCAGAGTCCTAAGTGCATGGAAATTGAACAGTAGCATATGGCTTTTAGGCTGTGGCTCTGCTGAGCACCATATTTTTTTTGTGAAATGATATGGAAAAAGCACTGGCTTTGGAAGAAAAAATGCTGCATCAAATTCTGACTCCCCCAGCAAATAACTGACTGGGACAAGTCTCATAGTATCTCCAGCATCTCAGAGTTTCCTCATCTCCAAAATGAGGATAAAAATGTTTGCTCTTGACCCAGAGAGATAATACTGTGGGTAGAGTTGCCTTGTACACGGCTAACCCAGGTTCAATCCCTGGTACTTCATATGGTCCTCCGAGCCCAGGATTGGCCCGAATGAAGAGCCAGGAGCAAGCCCTGGCTATGTGTGGTCCACATAGCATGACTATGTGTGGTCCAAAATCAAACAAACAAAAAATGTTTGTCCTGCCTAACTCACAAGATTGTTTAGGATCACTCGAGATCATCAGCATGGAGCATTATATGAATTTTTAGTGCCATGTAATAACAGGAGGTGAACCTCATTCAGGGTTTGACTCAAAGACATGGAGCTTTGAGAAGATAGAGAAGTATGTTTCTATGTAACTGATCTTTTTAAAATAAAGGCTTCCTTTTTTCAGAATTATGATCACCACACATCCAGAGTGACTTAGAAACTTGTTGTTACAGTCAAAGGATTATAAAATAGTGATAGTCTACATGTCTAGTATGTGGATGAATTTATAGAAAGTGATGGTGTTTTGATTGTTCTTTGCTGTAGCCCTGACCCTTTCCCTTATAAGAGTGAGAACAGGTAATTTCAAAACTTTTACAAATTTTCTTCCAAACTAGTGAAGAAAAAGAATGACATTCTGAAGATATGGCTGCCAATAAAATGTGTATTGTACTGGGGATGTGGGTCGGGAGGGGGAGGGGAGAAACAACTCATAGCAAATCTCATGAGTCAAGAACTTGACCATCATGAAAGAATAGGACATCCAGCTAACCCTGATATACCAAGTTTTCTTTTTTTTTCAATTGGAGTTATTTTCATATGCTCTAAGACACTAGATAGATAAGAAGGAGCAAGAGAAATACAAATGATTATATCTAATTGAAGGTGTGTAGACTACACCTGAAAACCTTTAGACTGTGTAGTTGAAAAAAAGCTATCCGTCCAAGTAATTCTGTTCATGTTATCCCTGAATTATCTATGATCCAAATTATTAAAAATACAAAATTACTTGGTTCTCCCTTTCCACTGGCCCTTGATCAGGGACCATTCCTCATTTCCTGGAAGACTTTAGTCAAAGTGTGGAGGCAGTTTTGGTTTTCACCATTGGAGCTAGAAAGTCGTGTTACTGGTATCTTGTAGTTAGAACTGAGACGCGTTGCTTGACATCCTTAATGCGCAAGATCCTATGGTTTGATACACACAATAAAGAATTTTCTAGCCCCAAATATCAGTTGTGCCACAGTTGAATTAAACGTTAATTAAGCTTTAAATTAAGCCATTTTTCAGACTTCCTTTCCACTAACTAATTTTCTATTTGATAGTGTGGTATTGAAAAGTCTTGAAATTCTTGAAAACATGGCCTTCGTATAACTAATGTCAAGGAAAGATATGATTCATTCTTCCCTCTAAGTTCTGCTAGGTTGGCAAGGTAATATCAGGCATGTTGACAAGATTTTTTAAAAATTTAGAACCAGAGAGTTAGTACAAGGGTTCAGGCATTTGCCTTACATGGGGCTGATCCCTGTTCATCTCTGACACCACATGTAGTCCCCCAAGCACTGCGAAAATGAATCCTGAGGACAGAGCCAGGAATAAATCCTATGCTCACTCAGTTATGGGCCCCAAGCTCACCTCCAATAAATAGATAACAACAACAAAAACAACAACAACAATATATATATATATTTTTGAGAATCTACATAAAATTCCATAAAGGATTAGGCAAAACTGGGAAGCATATATACATTTACAATTATATATGTATTCATAAATACTTATTTACAAATATATACATGAACTAAGGAGAAAATGGCCAATGATCCTTCAAAGGAATAAAAGCAATTAATGGGAAGATAAGAAAGAGTATAGGTTTGGAAAATAAACATTTGCTAAACCAGGTATAAAGAAGAAGAAAGGGAGGAATTTTAATTAATAAATTCAGCTATATTCCTCACTGTCAATCACAGCTAGCTCCTACTATGTTGTAACTATTTAGGATGATGGTTTTTCCATTAGCCTTCTATTTAAATTATTTAGGCAATAGAAACACAGCTCATTATTTCATCCTGGATACCTTGGGCCTTGAATAATTTCAATTCAAAGAATCTGTACCACTTGAATTGTATACTTTGAGGTGTTCACACCTACAACCATCACTAACTTCATGATTTGATTCTTTATCAAATTGTTTACTAATTTGTCATTACTTTCCTAATAGAAAATGAGGTTGTGCAATATAATCTATGATTATTACAATCTTTAAGAAGAAAATATTTAGGTTAGCACAGTTAAATACATCACAGGAGTATTAGCTGCAAAAACAAACAGACTTTATCACTAATATTTTATTCATATATAAACATCTGGAAAATTCCAGAGAATATCTATAGATTGGACATTTGAGAATACCTAGTGGTCCAGATCCTTTTTATCTCAGATGAGGACTGAGTGCCACAATGCCATTTCTTTAGAATATCTAAAAAGGAAATAAATTCTTATAATAAGTAAAATATAGCTTAAAATGTTTAGCTGTTATTGTTCTAGTTCAGACTTGAAATAAAATTAAAATAATCTATATTGTTCCTAAAATAAGCTATATTGTTTCAAGAGACTTGAAAAAATACCTTTTTGAGTGAGGTACTTCTAACCATCAATTCAAATAAGCTTTTCTGAAAGAAAAATTATATTAAGATGATTCTAAGAAGTGTTATATCAAAGAAACCTTCAAGAGGAGTCTCTTTAAATTGTCTTACTTTTACTCGGTAGTCAAAGATGTTACCATTTACTTTATCTTATGTTTTGTTTTACATTTTCAATCATTTTCATGCTAAATAGAATTTTCTGCTCTTTTTTTTAATACATTTTAGCTCCAGGCTTGAAACAGCCAAGCAATAAATTACCACAAAACTCATTATATGGAGAAAATTGGTATTGTCAAAAAATAAAAATGTATGGAAATGGATCTGAACTCAATAGTGTCTTTTTTAGATCATGTCTGTTCCTAAAACTTTGCTATTGTAAATATTTCAGAGTGAATGAATAAGAAACAACACTTCAGCTAAATGCACTGGCTATTGGCAATGGAAGATTAATTTCTCTTTTCTAAGGAACAACTTTTGGGTTGTTCATTATTATTACCTTTAGATTTTTTATGATTCACCTCTACACTATTAGCAATTAAACTAAAATGAATTTGCAATTAATTGCTATTTCAGGAAAAAATAGTTTTTAAATAATGCCCACACACATGAATCTAATTAAAAGTGAAATTATAAAGCAAATCAGAAATAAAAGTGTTTCTAAATGTAGGGTTAGAAAAACATTGGTCATTTTAACAAATTAGACTTTCTTTAAATCACTGAGCTTTTGACCTGCCGAATATTTTAAATAGGTGTTGTTTTATTAGTTTCCTTTAAAGTGTCAAAGGAAAGGAAAGGTAATCCATATGGAAATGTATTATTAATTTAAATAAATTATATCTAATATATTTTACTCAGAACTATTGACAGTACAAAAAAATTTTAAACCATATTCTCTCTTTAATTTTTAATAAAATGTATTTTCAATGACAGTAATATACTTAAATGCTATTTATACTCATTGATGACACCTAACTTAGATCTAACATGTAGAAAACACAGTGCAAAATAAATTTAACTAATTTGAATTATTATTGATTTGGAAGATTATAATGTCCTTTTCTATTCATAGCCTTAAAAAAGATATAAACTGTATTTCCAAACATACTCAAGTTTAGAATACACTTCCCTTTTTTCTCTATTTGACATAAATAAGTGTGGCGAGAGTCACAGGAAATTAAGAAATAAAAGCTGAAATCTGGATGTTGAATGTACTTGATTTGGCTAATCAAGAAACCAGAAACCAGAAATAAATTTATATTAAATTTTATCTATGTAGTAATTTTCTTTTTTTTTAATGCTATGCATTACATTTAATAACCACGGAGTCTTTTTACTTTAATTCTATTTTCGTTTTTACAGTTGGGGCAAATACAGACACTGAGATTGAGGTCATGGATGTCTCTGTGCATGTGACCACACGTATAAAAGCCCAGAAAGCATGCTTGGGTAGAAAATGCACGATTTGAATTTTCATAAGTGTCTCTTTTCATAGAGATCCGATTCAAAAATGTCAGGACAAATTTAAAATTTAGGGCTAAGTGACATAGGACAGCAGGTAGGGCACTTGCCTTGTAAGTGGCCAACCCAGGTTCAATTCCAGGCACCATATCTGGTTTCCTGAGTCCACCAGAAGTGATCACTGAGCTCAGAGCCAGGAGCAAGCCTTGAGCACCACTGAGTGTGACACAAAATAAATAAAAAAACAGTTACTGTTGTTTGGATTTAGATAAAATTAACAATGACTTCTTTATTTAACTTACATTCTAGACCAAATAAAACATTTAAAGGATTTCTCTTCTTAGCTTTATTTAACCAGTCTAGAAGAGTAACATGATTTGTTATCTTCACCAAATACAATTATTATTATTATTGTTATAACTTACATTTATCACAGTTTCTTGTTTAACCAATGAGAACAGAATATCAAACGTTATTATAGATCACCTAGATTGCTTGACTCTGCATCAGTTGAATGGAACCGATACATTTCTGGATTGAAATAAAGAGAGAATATGGCCATAAGAAAACTGTGGGGTTTAGTATCTTTCAATGAGTTTTTTTCTCCCTAATCCCCTGTCTTTCACTGAATGCTCTGGTTCCCACATGGGTCACTAATATAGGGAGAAATGGTAAGACTAATGTCAAATTGCTTCTTCCTCGTTTGCATGCTGTGTGCCATGGGCAGTTTAACCCATGCAACTTAGAGCGGCCATGCTCTTGCAGAACTGCTTCCCTCTGCATTGCTCTGAAAGCATGTCAAATCCAAGATAGTCAGATGTCCAGCACACTGCCTGCAATATGCCTGGTGATTAAGTACCACATCATCATATCCATAAGGCTAAAGGTTTCATCATACTCTTGGAAAATCGAGAAAACTATCTCTTCCTCTGGGTGTTTGCATATTCATTTCGGTATTCTCTGCCAGGGTTTCTGCCAGGTGACTGCATTTAAAACAAAATGAAACACCTATCGTTCTGGAAGAGTACTCCTCTTATCCTTGTTTCCTTCCTTCCTTCCTTCCTTCCTTCCTTCCTTCCTTCCTTCCTTCTTTAGTTCCACTCTCCCTCCCATCTCCTTCCTCCAGTCCTTCCTTTATCTTTTTATGCTTTATTCCTCTTGATTAACTGAGTTCTCTGGCTGTCTATTTTAGTGACACTAGGCTTTGGGGTGGGCCATTATTTGATGTGGTGCCTCTGCTCTCCAGGGAATGATGACATACCAACTAAGTCATTGTAATAACTGGAACCTTGGGAATTGCTCTGTTCTGTAACTGATGCTAGATTTTGGTACAGTAGCAGTCATAACAGGGGAACGTCCATGAGTATGGCTTGGGCAGGAATACCAAAATCCTGGGAAACAATTTATGATCCCATGTAATTTCCCATTAATGTTGAGGGTGATCACTTCACCTTCCCAAAATAAAACGAGAACGCAATGTTTGTACATATGTGTATACACATATGTGTACACATTCATGTATATATATATTTATTTATTTGAACAGTCTCAGTCTAGCAATTGGTTTTGAACAAAGTTTTGATTTATTTCATCTTTCTTTTCTAGTTTCTACATGCTACAAGCATTGTTTTTTTTAATCCCATGCAGTAACTATGTTTGTAAGAGTTATATAGAGAGCTTTTTTACTTGTTGCTTAAGCTGGAGCACTGACTTGCTGAAATGTAGCTTTGGTTGCACCTACAGTTCACCCACACTGAGAAAACTCTTCTTTTGTAGGACCTGACGGCATTAGCCAAAGAATTAAGAGAACTCCGGATTGAAGAAACAAATCGTCCACTGAAGAAGGTGACTGATTACTCCTCCTCCAGTGAGGAGTCAGAAAGTAGTGATGAAGAGGAGGAAGATGGAGAGAGTGAAACCCATGACGGGACAGTGGCTGTCAGCGACATACCCAGACTCATGTAAGTGGGCTGATTTTAATAAATAGCTTGTTGGACCCTTGAGATAGTACAGTGGGTAGGGCATTTGCTTTGCACGCAGCCAACCTGAGTTTGATCCCCAGCATCTCATATGGTCCCCTGAGCACCGCCAGGAGAATTTCTAAGTGCAGCGCCAGGAGTAACCCCTGAGAATCGCCAGGTGTGACCCAAAAAAAGCCTAATTAATTAATTATAAGATGTAGTTACTAGATCTTCAAATCAGAAGAGCAAGAATATTACATATAAAATCACTATGAGTCTCTAGTAGGATCAATTAACTTTGGTATGTGAGAATTCTCTAGATAATAGTTCTTTAATTATCTCCATAGACCATCACTTGGAACACAAAGCATTTCTAGCGCTAAGGAACTCTTAATGAATTAACAATCCTTTCGGCGGTGATTTCTTGATTCTTGTCATGCCAGGACAAATGATATTGGTAGCCAGACTGTTGACATGTGCTTTTATCATAAGAATGAAAAAGTGTATGGGAAAAGGGCCCTTAGAGATTAAAAATGGGTGGCAGTTGGCCTCAAAGGCTTGGGGGAAAGGCAGCTCAGATAGAGAAGGGAACACCAAGTAAAGGGTTGGGAGATGTGTGCTGAATGTAGACTATAGATCAAACACAATGGCCACTCAATGCCTCTATTGCAAACTAAAACACCCAAAAGGAAAGAGACAACAAAAGGGAATGCCCTCCCACAGAGGTGGGGTGGGGAGGTGGGAGGGCTACTGGGATCATTGGTGGTGGAGAATGGGCACTGATGGAGGGATGGATGCTCAATCATTGTATGACTGAAACACAAGCACGAACATTTGTAAGTATGTAACTGTACCTCCCGGTGATTCACTAATTAAAAAAAGAAAGAAAATAAAAAAATAAAATGGGTGGCAGAAAACATATGCTTGCCCATCACTATCTCTAAATAATGAGAAATGCACCTATCAGGGTGGGGGCCACATTCTAGCAAAAAATCAGGTGTCAGATAATGGTGCAGAAAAACTTCTAATATTGGGGTCTTAATATGTTCCTCTTGATGATTTTTCTCATCTTCTGTATTCCTTGTGGCATTGTCACAGAGGTTCTGTGATCACTTTGTGATTCTATTCAGGTCTATTCTGAATTCTTATCTCTTTAATTCTAATTCAAATTTTTGAATCTTTATTCCAGTGTTTTGTCTGCCTGAATTACAGCCTTTGCCTCTTTATTTTTGTTACTTTTTCTTTTTCTTTTTCATTAAAATGAAGCCTATGACCCACCTTCCCTTCTTGACTTAAGGTATCCTCAAATGAATGCAAACATATTCATTTTACTGCACTTCCATATCCCATTTCCTCCTTCAAAGAAACAACAAACTTTTCTATATTTTATACTCATTGATTTCTTGGACACAGCAACCAGTATTAGTCATCCCTATACAATCACTTCTATGGAGAAGATACCATTTCAAGCCAGAGACGATGGCCTTGTCCAGCATGGGCTTCAGAGAAAGGATTCACCAGTCTTCAGGAATGATATTCATTGATTTATAACTGTTGCATGCAATAAATTCCAAGAGCCAGATCCAATTATCAAAGCTGAAAATCCATACTTGTTCTTTTACTCTTGATTACCCAATTAGTTGTGACAATAAATAGATGAAAATATGACATTTTAAAACAAATTACATTAAATTGTTAATAGCAAACAAAAGTATTCTAGGGGCAAAAATTATTCATCCAAAACATTTCCGCATAATATGCTCCTTCTTTCAGTTTTTTCTTGGCTCAGCAATGGTTAATTCTTCTAATAGATGTTTTGAGTTTTCTTTAAACACTGAGTATACAACTAACAGGAAGAGGGTGGATAATGAATTTAAGATCGATTAAACTTGCATTTATGTATCAGTTACCATACTGAGGGATTTTAGACAATGGGAAGTGCATACATGAGTTCTAATTTCCAAAAGTTTTTATTACCATTAGAGAAGAGTCGATCTTTCACTTGGAAAACCAAAATAAAAGAAATATTTGGAAGAACAATCAAACACAACCACAAAACAATCTTATTTGGTTCTTAAGCTTCCTTTCTTTTTCGCATGAGGTGTACCCTCCTATCTCTAGAGGTAAGTCTGTAACCTCCTCCCACGGCAAAAGTGCCAACTTTTAAAATTCCTGCTGTATTTTCTCTCTGCTGCCTTATACTCTTCTCCCCCTTTAAAAATCACTGACTCTGGGGCTGGAGCAATAGCACAGCGGGTATGGCGTTTGCCTTGCACACAGCCGACCCAGGTTCGATTCCCAGCATCCCATATGGTCCCCCAAGCACCGCCAGGAGTGATTCCTGAGTGCAGAGCCAGGAGTAACATCGGCTGGGTGTGACCCAAAAAGCAAAAAAATAAAAAAAAATAAAAACCACCGACTCCTACCTAGCCAGCTGCATAGGTAGAGCCAATCTTGATAGCCTAGCCCCTCTTCTTTGCAACCACTGCATCTCATGTGTCTTCCTGGAGTTCCACTCAGCGCTTTGAATCAGCATGGTTTCCTGTATGTTATCTTTCGCTCCGGGCCGTGACATCCCTAAAAGTGAAGCTTGTTTCTACTTTGAGTCTCTACTCAACAATTTGCATATATCTGGAATAGAGTAGTTCTTCAGTGAGTTCAATTTATATTTCATTGGTTTGTACTGAAATTCTGAGTTTTGGCTTCAAAGATTTATAGTCTAACTCAGAGGAAAGATGTGCACCTATCTTTAAGGTAGAAAGGAACATGAGGTAAGAACTATTAGAATCCCGAGCAGAAGATGTTAAATAGAGGTTGAGTTTAATGGAAAGGAAGGGTGTGAGGAGGGAAAGTGGATCAGAGAAAACAGACCAAGAAGTGTGCACATCACCAGGGCACCATTGGAGAGCCTCAGAGAATCTCTCCCATTGGGGAGTAACAGAGGCAGGGTTACTTAAGCAAGATGGTTTGGAAAGAGAAAAGATATCGGACTGCATCAGGTATTGTAACCCAGGTGAAAAGTAACACATGAACTATCCCTGAGTGAAGGGAAAACTTGAGATAGTTGTTAAAGAATTGGTTAGGTATACAATTGAAGTAGTCATTATTAAAGACTATTTAAAGTATTTACGTATGAGATGCATTCAAAGGGGAAAAGGCAGATACGAATTGTTTATTAAAAATTGATAAACTTATTTATTTGGGGGAGTATAAAATGTACATCCTTTTCTACAGTGGTAATGTACATCCTGTTCTACAGTGGTATGACACACGCATATCTAAGAAACTTCACACTATTCAAATGTCCTATGAAAAATATTTAGTAATAGAATATTTTAGAGTTAAAGTTTCTAAATATGGTTTTAGACTGTAATTTGCTTTTGTGAGATGACCTTTACCTTTTGTGCAAATAAATAAATAAATAGATAGGCATTGCCACATTTTACTAGCATAATGTAGACAAAAGAAAGTCCCGGAAATGGAGCCGTAGTGTAGATCATAACTTACAAAACGTTAATTTTATGTTAGTCTCCAATTTTGTGATAGGCATGTACTATTTCCATAATCAGGAGATGGTTAAAACTTTAGAGAATAAGAAGAAAGGAAGGAAGGACATGTAAGTTAATTTATGTCATATTGAGAAGGCAAGAGCCATTCTTTTGCATCAGTTTATTCTCTTAAGTTTGAGCACATGCTTCAGGACAGACCTCATGAGTACACTCATGGGATCTCTCAAAATGAAATTTGGACAATGAAAGCACACATCTTTGTGTTCCTTCTTTAAAAAAATTTATTATTGAATCATTGTGAGATAGACCCTTACAAAGCTGTTCACCATTGGATTTCAGTCAAACGGTATTCCAACACCCATCCCTCCACCAGTGTATATCTCCCAGTTTCCCAGCACCAGTGTTCCCAGGTTCCCTCCCATCATCCCCGACCCCACCCTCTGTCTGACTCTATGGCGGGAACCTCTCTCTCTCTCTCTCTCTCTCTCTCTCTCTCTCTCTCTCTCTGTCATTGTGATTTGCAATATTGATACTGAAAGGTCATCAGGAATATGACTTTACCTACTTTTAACCCTCAGATATTGTCCAGCATGATCATTCCCAGCTATCATTGTCATACTTGTCTCTTCTCTATCTTACTACACACTTGTGGTTAGTTCCAGCCATTGGTCAGTCCTCCTAACCCCTGTTCTCCCTGATCATGGATGTTAATCTTCTACAATATATATTTTATATGCCACAAATGAATGCCATTATCATATATACATATATATCTATATCTATATATCTGTCCCTCTCCTTGACTCATTTCACTCAGCATGATACTCTCCATGTCCATCCATTTATAGGCAAATTTCATGACTTCATTTTTCCTAACAGCTGTGTTTTCCATTCTTATTGGAAAGCCATTCCTCTGAATCCATTGCTTCCCAGGCTATCATAATTCCCCCACCAAGATTTCAGTCCTTTCTTCCTTTGTCAATATTCAGGTTGCAGTTGATTGGTATCATATGGCTCTGGTCATGCTCTACCTCTACTGACTTATAATTTTACGGCCCTTGGATTGTAATAGCTGGACATACATTCCACAAAAAACTAATCCCACCTATTCTTATATTTTCTAATGCCATGCCTTTTCTTAGAGTGAATTCCTCTTTAATATCACTTTCTTACTTTTATCCTGACTAGTATTTGAATATTTGTATTATGGCTTTTTGTTCTTCTGAATTCTTTTTTTTATATTAGTGAAGCTTTTCTGAATTCTTATCTCTTTAATTCTAGGAAATGTGTTGTCTTGTTTTTATATCCACTACCCAATGCTAAACTAAAATCCTTTCATATAGCAGGTGTTCAGTAAATGTGTATTGAATCGAATTAAATCAATACCTCCAGGAACACTTTGACAAATCTAATTAGAGGAAATTACTGTTCTAAATCTGTGACCTAATTACAGGAAATTATCCATCTTTTTCCTTTTAATTTATTGAGATA